ACCCCAGATCTGGTTCAAGTTCCAAGACCTCGGAAGAGCATTATCAAACGGTTGCATACGACTAACGAAGGGTCGGGATATCTGCGCTTAACCGGATATCACGGCGCGGATCTCGGCCCGTATTGGTAGCAGATCAGTGATTAACGAAAAAGAGGATTTTTACCTTTCTTAGAACTGTACTAGGGATGAAACTCTCCTACTATATAAAGGAGATGATTTTATTCAATGGACACATTGTAACACGCATATCAAGGCAATATACATTTATTTTCTCTGCTTCAAAAGTTATTCAAAGTTCTCATTTTTGCTCATAGTCCTTCATAAATATTTGGCTTCGAACCGGGGGTAGACCAATCACTAAGTTTAGACCCGAGCTCGGACCTAACATCACAACTGGTTTGGTCACTATTTCTGCCTTCAATTCGTTTATTTAACGTTTTTCATCACTTGTATTGAATTATTCCGCATATCCTTAAAACCGCGTCTAAATTCAGTTATTATCCATTTTTAAGGGTAAACAGTTTAGCGTCCACCATGGGGATAAAGATAATAGTGGTGGTTTGATAAAATCTCCATAACACACTCTATTTTACACTTGTTCTTTAAGGACTCAATTTCATGTCAGCTTGTAAATGTTAAATTCTCAATCCGCTCACTTGAACGTTGAGGACGGATTAGGCCATCACGACAAAAACAACAATTTGGTGCCTAGCAATGAGGTGCCCCCTGCTGATCCCAACAGGGTCCCAGTTATGGACCCAGTTGATGCTAACTCACAAGTGGCCATCGATGCCAACCTTTCGACTGACCCCAAAAATAGCGTTCACGGAGGAGCCCGACCAACGGCTCAGGGAGCACCGAAGGCGAAGCCTACGGGGTCAATCTACGATTGATCTTCAAAATGCTACAGGCTCAGCAGGCAATAATAGTACAACTGCAAAACCAAAGTCGCGCCTCTAGCAGAGTTGATCCCGAACTGCCCCAGAAAAACACCCGAAGAAATGAGCAGATCCTCGAAAGTCCGGGCGAAGCTGAATCCGGTATTAGCCCTGAAGCGATGAAAATGCTAGAAGCAATAATGAAATGAGTGGAATCTGGTAAAAAGAAAATCAAGGCAAATGAGAAGAAGGTGGAGACATACAATTCCCGAGTTGATCAAATCCTAGAGCACCTCCGATACTGAAAGGCCCGGATACCAAAAAATTTGTCCAAAAGCCTTTCCCTCTGAGCTCGGCAACGAAACCAATCCCGAAGAGGTTTTGTATGCCCGATATTCCAAAATATAATAGAACCATGGATCCAAATAAGCATGTGACCTCTTACATATGCGCCATTAAGGGTAACGACTTGGAAGACGACGAAATCGAGTCAGAACAATTAAAGAAGTTTGGAGAGACTCTGTCAAAAGGAGCAATGATATGGTACCACAACTTGTCCCCAAACTCCATTGATTCATTTGCTCTACTCAGGTATGCTTTTGTAAAATCTCATGTCGGAGCCGTCAAGGTCGAGACCAGAAAATCGGATATTTTCAAAGTTAAGCAAAGGGACAAGGAGATGCTCAAGGAGTTTGTGTCAAGGTTTCAAATGAAACGGATGGACTTGCCTCTGGTCGCGGACGATTGGGTCATTTAGGAATTCACTCAAGGACTTAACCCCCGAAGCTCCTTGGCTTCGCAATAGCTGAAACAAAACTTGGTAGAATACCCAACAGTAACTTGCGTCGACGTCCATAACAGGCACCAGTCAAAATTAGAGTCGAGGTTAACCATCTCAGAGCCCTTTTCGGGTCCATTTATCTCACAAAAACCGAAGACAGACCTAAGAGAGTCGTCGATCATGAATCAAGGCCGGTCCGAGATCGATGTCAACCATACAGTATAGATCGAAGGGGAAACGGGTCCGGGCATAACTCTAAAAAGAATGAAAGAAGAAGCGATCGAGGGCACAATAGTCGAGGCCTATTGAGCAAAAATGGTTTCAACAGGCCGCTCAGGGGAAGGGAAGCTCCGAGATTATCAGAGTATAACTTCAACGTCGATGCAGCCAACATCTTATCTGCCATCGAGCGCATCAAAACGAATAAGTGGCTTGGACCTCTGCAGTCTGATCCTATCCAGAGGGACCCTAACTTTATATGTATCATGGCACTCATGGCCACAGGACCGAGGACCGCAGACAGTTAAGAGAAGAAGTGGCTAGATTATTCAATAACGGGCATCTCCGGGAATTTCTGAGGGATCAAGCCAAAAATCATTTTAGGAACAGGGACTCCAACAAACAGATCGAACAAGAAGAACACCAACACATCATTAACATGATCATTGGAGGGGTCGATATCCCCCAGGGGACGATGATAAAGCACATTAAAGTGTCCATCACAAGGGAAAAGCGAACTCGGAATTATATCCTGGAGGGAACCATTTCATTCGACGATGAGGATCTCGAAGGCATCATACAAGGTGTCACGCCCCCTTTTTCCCGCTTTTGACGGAGAAGTCCGGGTTTCGACAGTCACGGGGTGTAATGACTCATCTCCTTTTGGGAATTGGGTATTTGAAGAGTCGCCACCTAATGGATTATGATGCATTAGGGCACCTAGAGCGATTAACTCTTGGGTTGGTTTGCATTACCAGAGATTGGGGTAAGGGCTCGAAGTAACCTCAAGGGGAAGGTGTTAGACACCCCTCTTGGTCCACAACTATGGGTCCCGATCGAACTTATATTCACAAATTAGTCAATTACAAGTAAACAATTGAATCAAATAGGTCGCAAACAAAACACATTGGGATAACTCAAATAGTAAGATTTGGACAAGTTATAAAATAAAGGTTTAAATAAAAAGGGAATCTGGTAAAGAGGGGTCCTAGGTTGGTTATCCTATAGGCATGATATCTAAGTGTAATACTAATTCTAATGATTTGCAGGCATGAAAACATACATAACACTCGTTGCACCAGAATCCGAATTAAGTCTTATAGGCATGGCATCTATAAGTTAATCTAATGAAAGCATGATTCTTATTACGAAGTTATCCGAATTCTATAGGCATGGTTTCTAGACGTGACAAGATGTAGAACCTTATAAACATGATTTCTACTTAGTAGAGCAAACAGATTTAAAAGTAAGATCCTAGGAGCATGATTTCTGCCCGTATTACCCCATAAAGCATGTATCTACCCACACTTTTCACTAAATATCCCAATATCTATTTACAAGTTATTACAGACCAATGAATGAATTACACAAGTAAATAAAAAATCAAGAAGCTATTCTATAAGGAGCCATCAATTAGGCCCAAATGCCCCAAAGCCTCCAATGACCTCATATGCCTCAATTCCATAGACAATGACATAGTCTAGGTGTATCAAAGTTCCCTAAGTATCTCGGCCAGTGCTTACACCTAGACTTGGTAACCAAAATTGAACAAGTGCAGTGTGGAAGGGCCAACCTCAGTATGCCAGAGTTCAGAGGGTTCTCAAGAAGATCCCAAGGCAGTACACATACTGGAGGGGGCAGAACTTATTGACTAAGAGTATAGTGAAAGTGATTTACACAAGTTGGAAGGTTTTAGTAAAAAAATGTATTAAAACAAAAGTCTTTTTGAAAGTAATTTAGTAAAGCAATAGAGACTGTTTGTAAAAGAGATTGGAGTAGTTAACAAAGTCCAAACACCTTAGGATAAGTTCATACACAGCCAGGAGTCACATCATCAAGGCAGGTTTGGTAGTCACAAACAGGGGTAAAGGGGGTTTAGGAATACATAGGACACATAATTAAGCAAAGACTTGGGAATTAGTATAGTCATGCCCAGGAGCATCTAACTAGACATAGTCATAAAATCAGACATAAAGGACAGACTCACATGCAGGGGCAGGGATTTGGGGAATTCATGGTAGTAAACATATAACAAGTAAGAGATGATTGGTAAGAAATGCTCATAAACACACATAAAGGGGGAATATACTGATATAAAGGAAGGGAAAGACATAATAACATGCTAATAATGTAACTATCAATTACAAGTTCCACAACAAAAACACAAATAGAAGCAAACTAGGAACAAAATGAACTGAAGCAATAAGAGAATCATATTGTTGTTGGAACTTTGAATTGAAACTAGAACATACCAGTGAAGAGGATAGTAAGCAGAGTGAAAGAACAAGAGAACATAAATGGTTAGTCTTGGCTTGCAGCCGGCTAACTTAAAGCAGTAACAAGTAGTACAAAAGAGCAAAAAGTTTTAAGTGTGGGAGATAGTTTTGAACCAAGAGTTCGTGTCTGTGTGTGTTAATGAGAAGAATATATATAGTTTGAAACTAGGTAGAATAATAAGGTAAATATCAAAATCAAGCAGTAATTATGGAACTAGGTATCAATTAGTATAAAATTAGTAGAAGTACTCCCTTAATTAAAGGAGTTAATTTCAAACGGTAAAGAGAAATAAGGAAATAGATCACATAAGATTGGAATATAATATACAAGGAAATAGTTTCAGCATAGTGCAAGTATAGAACATGTAATTAAGGCTAAGTACATAATATCCCAATTAAGGAAATAACACAAGAGTCGGTTGACAGCATAGTCGACCATAAAATAAGGCAAGGAAAATAACTTAGAGGTTGAAAATCAGTAGAGAATATTACAAGAGATTAGAAGGATATCAATCACAGGGAATCAAGGATTCTGATGGATAATAGTACTGATTTAGGGGGGAATTACCATAAATAGTACTGAACAAACAGAATAAACACATGATAGGCAAGAAGAGGCAAAAATCAGAAACCCTAATAGCACAATAGGGTAAAAATCACACAAAATTAGGGATTCGCATGGAACATAGTACTGATTAGAGGAGTTTAATAGAATAAACATAGTAGAGGCAGAAGAAGCAAAAAATTAGAAACCATAATGATCATAGTAGGGTAAAATCATAGAAAACTTAGGGATTCATGAGAAACAAGCAAGCATTCGAACAAATCATCAAATACAGATTCAGAACCCAGGGTTAAGACCAAGAACTAGGGTTTTCATATAGACGAGTTGAAAAAGGAGTAGAAACACAGAATCAGTTGAGATATGCAAAGGATAGAGGTTTAAACATAAAGAAAAATCAGTTTGAACAAGCATAGAAGAAACTCCGAAAAACCCTAACTTTAAAGAAAGTTAAAAAAGCTTGAAGTTGATGATTTTCAAAAGAGGTTCGAGAACAGTGTAAAACATAGAAGGAACAAACTCGAATCGTTAAAAAAATGGCCCAAATCTAAGAGATACAAACGAAAATTAGGGTTTCAAAAGAAACCTAAATAGAGATGAAAGAACCTGCATAAAACTTCAAAGATCGTAACAAATATAGTGTGACTTTGCCCAAAATCACATCGGAGAAGCCATGAACAGCCAAAACAACAACCCTATAAACAAGTCGGCATGGTCCAGGGCCCTTGAAGGCCTCAGAGAGGATGAGCAAGGTAATGGAGGAGCCATTGGAGGCTTGGGGTTGAAGAGTGGTCGCCGGAGAAGACCGGAAAAGGGAGGCGGTTGAAAAGGATTTAGGGTTGGGTTGAGAGAAGAGAGGAGATGAGAGGATTCAGAGGCGGCGGGCTGTAAAGAATGACGAGGGTTAGGGGGTATTAGGATTAAAAAAGGAAAGAATGGGTATGAACCGTTGATCTGGGAATTAACGGCCAGGATTTGATCGGGTAGATGGGTTCCGGGTTTGGGTAAGTGTATATAGGGTCTGGGTCGGGTATTTTAATAAGAAATTGGGTTGGGGTTGGGTCCAATTTGGGCTGTAATTGAAATGCCAAATCCGGCTATAATTTAAATAGCCATTTTTCCCTATTTATTTTATAATGAGTAATAAACAATTCCTAAAAAAATAATTTTCTATACCAAAATGATTTAAAATATGTAATTATCATTTTAAAAATATAGGGACCAATTTTACGCATATAAAATGTAATTATATAAATGAGCTAACATTGCAATTATATGCAATTTAGCTTAAAAATACCAAATGCAATTATAAAAATTCATAAAATATATTAACTATATTTTGGTATAATTATATAGATTAAATGAATAAATCATCATAACAATAATTTGGAGAATAATTAATGGGATTCTATGAATAAAAGGGGAGGAAATAAATCAATTTAAATCCTTAAAATTATGGAAACAATTATAAAAAGCTTGTACATGCTTATATATACATATATATGTTATTTCAAAGGTATTCATGCATATAAAAATATATAGGAAAAAATTGGGTATCAACAGCTGCCCCACTTTACCCGAGAAGGATGAAAGAGTTTTTGGGTAAAGAAATGATGGCCAATTTTGACTGGATGGGATGTTTTGAAAGACAGAGGCCGGACTCTAGTTTTTGAGTTGCCTATATATTCCTGGTTTTATAGGAATCAGGCCACATGTAGTCCTGGATTCACCCGTGGAGTAGGCCGATGAAATTATTGCAAGAACGGACACGAGATGCAGAAACGACTATGGTGAGCGGTTAAAGCTCAAGATGGTTGGAGGGAACTGGAGCGAGATTGCTCCTACTAGGATAGCGGTTTCTTACTGGTTACCTGCAGATAAAAGATGCTACAAATGTATTCGTGAAAATTTAAACATGATGCAGATTTCCTTCGGACCATGAAGGTTATCTTCGGACGGTTAAAGATGACGTCCTTGGACCATGACATCCTAGGCCATGAATAGTTTAGTGAGGGATTCGCAGGCCATGAAATGGTGTTCTCGGGCCATGAAAATGGTGCCTCCGAACTATGACGCCTTTGAATAATGATATGCAAGTTCGAGAGATCCTTAGGCCATGGCATTGTGTCTTTCGGCTATGAGAATGATGGTTTTAGACTATGATGCCTTCGGATAGATTGGCGATGTTTTAGCCCATGATATGCAATAATATTATGTAACAAGATAAGGCTTAGTCTTGTGAAATGGAGGTCAGAGCTTAGCCCGATTGAAAAGCAAATAGATAGTAGTAGAAATAGAGCAATATCTGTGCAAAGAGGGACAATGCTTAGTCCTGTGCAAGTAGGGAGGCAAGAATTAGCCTTATGCAAATGGGGAGGCAAGGACTAGCCTCATGCAAATATGGAGTCAAGGACTAGACTCCTGCAAATATAGAGTCAAGGACTAGACTCATGCAAATATGGAGGCAAAG